AAATACATTTTTCCGCAAACGTAAAAAAATGACGACTTTATTAATGTCAGTTCTTAATGTTGAAGTTTGATTTCACAGACTCCACTTTTTTCTCCGGCCGTGAGCGTACAAAAAAGTACTTTTTTGTACGCTCACGGCCGGAGAAAAAAGTGACATGACAGACAGTAAATATCATCAGGTAGTTGAACTTTGGAGATTTATTAGCGATAATTACATATTAATTGTGAAATTACAATTATTTAGAGTTGCACCGCACAAATTTAACACACTTCCTGATTTATTGACTTCTAATTCAATAGAATTTTGTGTAGAGTTGAATGAGTTAGCCAATAACATTTCCTTTGACTTCTTACTCGTTTCAACATCTGTTAAATCAACGTCCACCGAATTTCGCTCATCGGAAGCTGCATTCAGGCCCAATGACGAAGAATTTGGCATTAAGATCTTTTTCGCGGTTTCTTTTTTATTAGACAAAGAATCTTCTAGGTATCCTTCAGCCACAGTGCTCGACCTCCAACCTCCCTGCCGCTTTAAACAAGTGATATCAGCTCCTCCATTCACCAGCAATGTAGCTGAAGTTCTTCTTAAAGCATGGCCTGTGTAAAGTTTTGAATCCGGTAGTTTTAAAAAAGTTGCTACTGTTTTGGGTACATTACTAATTGTATGAATTCCCATGACCATGCGATAACATTTTCCGTTTTGAAATTTCAAGAAAAATCGACGGCTTTCCATAGCGGGGGGGCGCAAGGAAGTATATTTTCTATAAAGATTTATGTATTTTTCACCAATAATTGTAAACGATCGTGGCTTTTTAGTTTTGCTATCAGGAATCTTTATATGAATAACAGATCCTAAATCCTCTATATTGTCTATTGTCATATTCACCATTTCATCGCACCTACATGCTCCTGATACGCCTATTACTAAAACAACCTGAAAATAGCATATATTATTTTAAAACTTTAATGTATTTATGCAGGTATACCTAGGTAAGTATTTTATAACTAACCTTAATCCCCAAATATTGCTCATCAGGTGCATTGTTTAAAAAATCTTCAAACTGTTCCTTTGTGAATACCTTTGATTTTTTGGGAGTATAGCCTTCATTCTGCTTTTTCAAATAAGCACGTAGCTTCATATATTTGCTAATATCTAATCCATGTTTAAGATTTAATAATGCTTTTATCATGGAATATTGAGACCACATTGTTGAACTCTTCATTTTTAGATTGGTTGCCAATTCACAAAAATAAGCTAGTAGCACATTTTCAGAATAGTTTGTAATGTTTTTCTCATTGCACCATGTGAGAAATCTTTCATAAGCATGATTATAAACTCTACTTGACTTCGTTGGAATTAAATCGTTCGTAGCTGTCTTGGCAATTGCAAGAACGTCTGGCGGCGTACAGTTAAGTTCGGAATCCGACATAATATGTAACCTGCAAGAAAAATTGGTCAATATCTTTTACTACTTTATCTACTTGATACTCGGGTACTTACCAAAAACGCACAGTTCAAAAGGGCTTTGAATGTTCCCGATAATTAATTTGTTGAATTGTCAAAATTTTCTTTCACCATAACAACCGCAAACCACAGCAATCTAGTTTTAAATTTTTCAACATTTAACAGATGCGCTGCAATCTTTTTAGGAATACTCCCTTAATTCTATCGTTTGAACAGCGTTTGCGGAAAAAATTGTATGTTTTATTCGGAGTAAAAGCACTTTTTGTGGCGCGTCTGAAATTGTCGGCCTCACTACGTTCGGCCGTCAAACATTCAGACTTGCCACAAAAAGTCACACTTTTACTCCTTATAAAACAATATACTTTTCTTGTTATATTTAGAATGTTTTGTGTACACAAGCATCTCATTTGAAGGTTTTTTTAGGATGTCATATCCAACGAAGAAAGAGCGTGAAGTTTGTTGGGGTGCAAAAGACGAATACTGGTCATGTTTAGATAAAAATAATCAAAAAGAGTCGGTTAAAGATGGCCCCTGTGCGGAATTAAGGAAACTGTACGAGAAATCTTGTTCTAGTCAATGGGTTAAACATTTCGACAGGAAAAGGAGTTACTTATTATTTAAAGAAAAACTAGAAACAGAGGGGTACGCACCACTAGATGATAGAAAATACAAATAATAGACATTGTAAACTATTTACACTAATAAATAGTTCTAGTTAATCTTTTCATTACAGAGTGCCTAGCAAAAATTTATGTGAACAATCTTTTGGTGCAAAACGGAGGGTTTATTCACAAGTATCTGCTATGTAACTTTATTTTAAATATTAAATTTATATACACTTGTTTACATGATTCCCTCAGTGTCCAGGTCGCTACTTAAGGGCCTCTCCATACTGCTTTGATCAATTTCATCCATACATATATTCACAATGTGTTTCCCAGGAACCATGACTAGACCTAACATTCTAGCCTCATCACCGTTGCTTACATCAGAACTCCACCGTTCCAATATGGTGTCTTCCGGTAAATATTCCGAACACGAGCCTAAAATGATGTTTGCATCTCGATCTGTACACAGAAATACACCAATCAGAACTCGTCCATCTGACATTTCAATCTTTAACGTTTTATTCAACCACTTGCGTAGCTGAACTGCACCGGGTGACATCTGTAAATAACGCAGCAAGTGTTTGTATACCTAGTAAGGCACATACGTTTAGTGGCTTTCTGTTGTCTTCTGCTACTTCAGGTTCATTCACATCATCTTCTTGTTCGAGACACTCCAACTTTGATGTACTCAACAGTGGTTCTTCTATTTCTCCCATTTTATATCATCCTTCCAGATACTGTAACCCCCGTGTGCTGATTTTTCGCCTTTGGTTCTGGTTTAGGACATTAACACAATTAAATTAAAACAATTCTGCTGTTTTGTGGACAGTTGGTCTAAATCACAAAAAATGTAGGGTTATGTATGTTATATACAGGATGCGCGAGACAAAAATATTTTGCGTAGCACACTAGGTTTGTTGTACACTCCTTGTACTTTACCATAAAAAATTAGGTTTTTTGGACGCCAAAAACAACAAAATAATGGAGTACGATTAATTTTTATCTGCCATGATAATCAATTTATCATTACAATAAACAAAGTCATTACCTTTACGAGTACACATAGAGCCAATACAAGTCACGCCACATGAGTCTTCTTTGTCTAATCTGTGGTTAAGGAAATAAAAATGGAGGAATAAAATTTTGAACACCTTTTCCATAACCTCACATTTTGAAAGTGTTCATGAAATGTGTACTTCACATTAGAAAAATAATTGTTACATTTACTAAATCCCTAATAACAAAATTATGGTAAGCGGTTTCATTTTAGTTATGTCATCTATATAGAAATATCTTACAGCATCACAGTAAAAAACTGCTAACACCGATATCCTCTATGCTCCGAGCAAATCAAGGAATTCTAAGATTATCGGTCAGAGAATTTCGCTATGGAGTAAGTTTAAACCGACCTAAAATGCTAAATTGTTTGTATGTTGTTAATTGTAGGAGTGTTGTTATTCGAAGGACGTTAAACGGACGTCTTTTCTATCGAGACTGTACGAAAATTTTCAAGAAGAAATGGCCAAAAATAAAGAAATGAAGGAATCACTAAAGAAGTTTCGTCATGAGGCTGATAAATTAGAACACAGTGATGCATTAAAGGCTGCCCGTCAGAAATTCGAAGCGGTTGAAAAGGAAGCTAGCAAAAGTACTGAGGTTATCAAAGAGAAAATTAGTTCAATTAAGGACAAGGTTCAAGATGTGATAGAAGAAGCGGGAAAGTCTGATTTAGCAAAAAAGGCTGGGAAATTTACCGAAGATTTAAGTAAAAACGTAACCTCTAGTATTTCAGAAAAGGCTCAGGAGATAGGAAAGACTGCAGCTTTTCAAAGTATTTCACAAGCGACTAAGGCGGTGCAGAAGGAAATCGATACGACTAGCATGTATGGTAGGGTTTATCAAAGTCCGCAAGTTCTAAGGAAACGTACTGAGGCTGTGGCTACTCATGTAAATAAATTTTATGAGCCAGATACAGAAACGACGGGAATTGAATTGCACAAAGATTCAAAGTTTTATGAATCCTGGCAAAATTTTAAAAATAACAATCCTTACGTGCATAAAGTGATGGACTGGAAGATGAAATATGATGAAAGCAATAATCCCGTAATCAGAGCATCTCGTTTATTGACTGATAAAGTGAGTGAAATTGTCGGAGGCATGTTTCAGAAGACAGAATTATCAGAGACTTTAACCGAAATTTGTAAAATTGACCCAAGTTTTGAACAAAAACGTTTTCTGAAACAGTGTGAAACTGATATTATTCCAAATGTTTTAGAGGCAATGTCTAGGGGTGATTTAGAAATTTTAAAAGATTGGTGCCACGAAGGACCGTATAATTTATTTGCTGTGCCGTTTAAACAGGCCCTACAGAAGGGTCACTCGATAAAATCTAAAATTTTAGATATTGACCATGTCGATTTAGCTATGGGGAAAGTAATGGAGCAAGGTCCGGTACTTATTATCACATTTACATCTCAACAGATAATGGTTGTATATGACATTAGTGGCAATGTGGTGGAAGGAGATCCAAACAAAGTAATGCGAACGTCTCACGTTTGGGTATTATGTAGAGATCCCACAGAACCAAATCCAAAAGCTGCGTGGAGACTGTTGGATCTTTCCGCCCATAGTAGTGAACAACTCGTCTAAATTTGTGCTACCTAAAAAGTGCAATTAACTTGGTTAAATAATTGTTTCCGGCTTCCTTTAACCGAAGATAATTTACTAGGTGAAATTAGACAGTTTAAAAATTTTGTATAAAGTACAATTGTTGATCTTTGATACATCTTTTAATTGTAATGGAATAAGCGAATTCATCTTTACTATTTCAAATTCGTTTGTTGCTAAACATGTACAAATTGTGAAGTAAAATACTATTTATTCATTTCATTGTTTTGGTAAGTGGGTTTACCTCCATACTGTTTATAAACTAATGCATGCCAAGATGCTGAATTGAAGGGAAGGCATCCATTGGTTATAATATCATAGAAAAAAAACAACTATGGGATACATACAACAAAGATTATTCCAATGTACTTTGGGCTGAAACCCCACCCACTTAAAAATAAAGGCCCAAATAAATAACTATTAATTAAATTTTTCTGATTTTTACCGTCAACGTGAAATGTTCGAATATTGAAAAAAATACCTACCAATGTTGTAAATGTCTGTGGATAATACCTGTGGTATACACAGTGCTTTGTGGATATGTTGGGAAGTGGATAACAGGGGTTCGACAAGGATCAGTACATTGCTCAGTTTGTGCATGTGCACACCTGATTTGATTAAAATATGCATTATGTTTACCTTTACCATTGATTATCCTGCATAATGAATGCCTTTACTAGAACCATCTTTGGTTAAAATTTGAAAAAAATATATCTATACATCTGTATAAATATGAAAGTTGTGCATGCGCACGCATTGAGCGTCAAGTTATTTATTTAAGTTATTGATTGAGGTGCCAGTATAAGCTACCAAATATAAAAAGAACGCATTGATTATCTTGAAAACTGTAGGAGTACCTAGTTTAGCCCCGGGACAGAAGGACGGAGAAAGTGACCATAATAGCGCCTCTCAACATGAGTTGAAAAATGCGCCAAAAAAAGAAGTGAATCCCAAAGGAGACGTAAAAAACTTGAAGAGATGTGAACGAATTAGGCAAATGTAACGTAAAGATTGCTTGTCGGTGACCTGGAAAACGGGTACAAGATTGACGTGAAATACTCGAAGGGGGTAAAAAATGAAGAATGTCTAAGTACCGAAACAAAGGCACAAAAGAGGTGTGAAGAAGGTCTGAAGTGTAGAGACGTTTAGGAAAAAGGGCGCATGAAGGAGATGAAGAAGGCCTGAAGGCTAACATCAATAAAGTGCTGGTGGAAATGTGATGGAAACGTGAAACCTTATTTAGAATGAGAGAATGATTCTCTGATCGGGCAGAAACCTGAAAGTGAGATGCGGACCGAATCATTTCCATCACGATTCACGAACCAACAACTTCGTAACGACCCTATATACTCCTTCGTGCATGAGTAACTAACTTCAATTTATTAGTGATCACGTGACGTTTATCAAATGGTCACGTAACCTTAAAAAGGTATCACTTTTCAATGTTATGTAACTAGTTTGTGCTAAACTGCAAATTCTTATCTAGCTAACTCCACTTTGTTTACATCATCTGCGACTACATGGGGACTGGGGTTAGGATTACATTTCGAACCGCAGATTGATAACAAAAGACATAACCTCACTAACTTCTAACTTTATTTATTCAAATTGTGTGCAGCTCTATATTGAATAAATGGTTTTTTGGATCTAACTGACATACTTTATAACTTTCTGCCAAGAGATCTATCTAGATAAAATGTGGCTATTGCACTTAGAACTGGTTACAATTTAAAATATGTCGAGGGGGCAGGAACTGTGGGGTGTAATCCGTGGCCTGCAGGCAGTAACCGAGGCTGGGATAAAATTGCAGCTACAGTTGTTGGAGAAATGTTGGCATAATTCTAGTCTGAGAACTGTAGCTCAAAATGTGTATGAAAATACAAAGAGGCCCACGAGTAGTTCTACTGGAAAACCTGAAGATGTTCTAAAGATTGTAACCGACGCTGCAGATCGTTTGTATACAGTTGTTGACGGTGTCAGTGAATTTGTTTCTTTTAAAAAGTTTACAGTTCATGGTAAGATTCAATTAAGTTTAATTTTAGATGATTAGTCATTCCTACCTTTGCTTTTGCTTTGGTTGTAGGTGTTTGTTTAGTAGATGTTTTCAATTAGTGAGTCACTTTTCTTTATAGACACTGCTCCAATTAGGTCGGAAGTTGATAAATCTCAAGCTAAAATAGAACATGAAATTATACTAACCGCCACGGATAAAGAATTATTAAAGCAGTTAGATATGGAGCACATGGAGAAATTAAAAGCAGCTGCTGTAACACAGGGACAGCTTGAACATAAGGAATTGGCCCAAAAGATACAAAGTGAAAATGTGCTAAATGCGAAAAAACAATCGGCTAAAGTTACTTTTGTTCCAAACCCAAAGTCGAAACAAAAGGTGCACTTAATTATTAAAAAAAGTTTATTGTAGCTACACAAATTTTTTAGTTGAACTTGTCCTCAAAAGAACGTACGGTTCCCTCATCGCGAGTTGCTAGAATGGTTTCTTTTGGAAGTCTAGCTGCCGGTCTCGGTGTGGGCACAGCTGCGGAGTACATGAGACGGTCTATTGGAATTGGATCAGAATCAGAGTCGAATATTTTTCTAAACAAAGCTAATATGGATAGAATTGTCGATACACTTTGCAAAGTTCGAGGTGCCGCCTTAAAACTTGGACAGATGTTAAGTATACAGGATGAGTCAATTTTAAATCCAGAATTAGCAAAGGCACTTGAACGCGTCCGCCAATCCGCAGATTTCATGCCCAGTTGGCAGGTTGATAATGTGCTTAATACGGAAATCGGTCCCGGTTGGAGGGACACACTGCTCGAATTTGATAATAAACCATTCGCTGCGGCATCTATAGGGCAGGTGCATATGGGTAAAACGTTAGATAAAGAGAATGTGGCTATTAAAATACAGTATCCCGGAGTTGCCAAGGGTATTGAAAGTGATATAGATAATTTGGTGGGAATCATGAAGCTGTGGAATCTTTTTCCAAAGGGGATGTTTATCAACAATTTTGTAGTTGTTGCCAAACGAGAGTTGGCATGGGAGGTAGATTATCGCAGAGAAGCAGAATGTACAAGGAAATTTAAGACAATATTGGAACCATATCCCAATTTTCATGTTCCAAAAGTTATAGGTAAGGTGTATTGGTACTGAATTCAAGAATGTGCTTTTCTACACCTTCCATTTAAATTGCAGACAAATTATGTGCCTCACAAGTGTTCACAACAGAATATGTTGATGGAATTCCAGTTGATCAGTGCGTTGAATTAGACATGGAACACAGGAAATTTATTGCCAACAACATGTTGCACTTGACTTTGTTAGAATTGATGGTCTTCCGGTACATGCAGACAGATCCAAATTGGGCCAACTTTTTGTATAATCCAGATACAAAAAAAGTGTGTTGTGTACATCTAACTTTATATACTTTCTTAAAGACCACTTCTAGATTTATCTGTTAGATTTTGGAGCAAGCAGAGATTATCCAAAAGAGTTTGTTGATAACTATGTTCGCATAATGAAAGCTGCTACTNCCGGCGAGGTCGACCCGGCGATGGACGACCGGGCGACAGCCTTCCCGGCGAAACCCAACTGGGCGACGGCCCAACCCGGCGATGGACAACTGGACGAAATAGGGAATATATTAAAATGCATCCAAAAAATATTAGGCGATTTTAATAAATGCACATTCACCGCAATTCTTTTATTAATGCATTTCCATCTAATTTATGTAATACGAGTATAATAAATTTGGAATGAAAACCTTCAGGACATACATACATACAAACAAAATGCTTGATCATGATACCAATGTTTGACAGTTGTTTCCATAGCATGCTAAAAAATTAAAAAAATTATTTTTCTTTAATTTTTTTGCAAAAAAATTCCGGCTAATGTAACAATGCAAATTATCATTGAATTCAGCAAAAAAATTCTATCGCATTCACCTAAAAAAACAAGATCACGCCATTTAAAAAAAAAATTGACTATGAGTACGCCCTTAAGATAAGAATTTAAAACGTTTTAATTATGGTTATTTTGTAGTATTTTAGTATTCATTAAACATAGTTTTTGATTCATTCAAATCGGACTAAAATTGTAGAAACTACAGCTTGCGGCGTTTTTTAAATTACACCCTGTAACGTTAATCTAGCTAGTACCTATTAGAGTAACATTACCTACCTTTGTATATAAGATCTGTGTATTTCAATTAATATTTTTTTAATTACTAAGATGATAATTGACTATTAATGCACATTAACCGTAATTCTTTTATTAACGCATTTCCATCTAATTGATATAATATGATAAATGATCAAGTTAGCATAAAGGTAGTTAACGTTAATCTAGGTACTTGGCTTTAATGAAAGAAAAGTACCTATTAGATTAACAATAGCCCCCTTTGTATATGATACCTGTGTATTTCAATGATTAATTGTTAATTACTAAGATAATAATTGAATATAAATTTACTACTCTCTTTGTTTAAGTACGGGTAGCTCCCCTCCAGATACCTGCAAATTTATCAACCTGTGGGCTCTGATTTAATTTTGAGTTATTACCGTTTTTCATTTTCTTAGAAATACATGTTCTAAAATGAACCAAAATAATGTCAAATCGCAAAGAGGTACTAACAAGTTTGTGCACGAAGGCTTTGTCTACGTAAAAGACAAAGATAGCATAGATGGGGCAACGATTTTTTGGAGATGTGATAGAAAGTATAGTGGTTGTCGTGGAAGAATCTGGACCAATAGTGTCGATGGAACATTCAACTGTTTGCGAAGAAATCACACGTGTTGTGCTACCGGTGATGCTGCGCGAATTGAAGTGCTTAAAGTTCAAACAAATGTGAAACACCGTGCAGCTTCTACAATGGAAACTCCATCCCAAATAAGAACAGAGGTACTCCAAAATGCTTCAGCTGCAACTCTAGGGCGAATTTCAAGTTCTATGGCGATGGCAAAAATGGTCAATCGAGTTCGTAGAAAGGAAAATGTTGCACCGGCCATTCCAGACACACGTCGCGGTATTGAGGTTCCCGAAAATTACAAACAGTACGAGGTATCCGAGGGAGTTTTCGAAAATTATTTGTTAATGGATTCCGGAAATGACGATGACAATCGTATTCTTGTTTTTGGAAGAGAGTACAACCAAACATGGGCACACGACATGCGTGACATCTTCATGGACGGTACATTTCTATTGGCACCACCATTATTCAAACAAATTTTTGTTGTTCTTGCCCGTCGCGGTGAGCGGTACGTGTTTCCGGTGCTCTTCTGTCTGCTGCCCAACAAAACAACACAAACATACCGAAAATTATTCTTTCTTATAAAACAACAGTGGCCTCGTTTCAACCCCGAGACGATAAACGTGGATTACGAAGTCGCAATTCATGATGCATTACGCACTGAATTTCCGGAAGCCGATGTACGAGGATGTTTTTTCCATCTCGTACAAAATCTGCGAAAACATCTTTCCAGCAGCAATCTATTAGGTAGATACCAAACCGATGCGGATTTCGCTTTGCAAGCGCGAATGATTACATACATCATTGGCTTTTGTACCTGAGGAAAATCTAATGCAAGCACTTATTGACTTAGAAAATTATGTCACAGATGATTTGGAACCAATAGTAGCCTGGTTCACAAACACTTACGTGGGCCGACTTCGAAATAACGGCACTAGGGCTCCTCCGAATTTTCCATATGCCACCTGGTCGGTGTTGCAAAGGACATTAGCAGGAAGCGACCGAACAAATAACTATGCCGAAGCGCTCCATCGGAAACTGCAACTAGGATTTGGCGTAGCACACCCAAGCATCTGGAAATTTTTGGATGGGCTCAAGAAAATCCAAAAATTATTTGATGCTACGTACGAGGATTTCGTAGCTGCACGTGAACCCCCTTTAAAACGACGCCGATACGACGAAGCAGACAGAAGAATTTTGACGAAAGTTCAAAATTTTGATGCAGGCAGTATAATTGAATATCTGCGAGGTTTGTCACACAACTACCGCATGGAGTAGGTAATCTATTGTTGTTATTTTTGAGTTGTACTGTATGTATTCAGTTTTCATTATTTGTACATTTGCCTTTAATAAAGATAGTTTATGTCGATCTGTTCATATTTTATCATTCTCACCGTGAAGGACCATGAACAGCGGTACTGCCTCTTTTTACTTATTAACGTATACAAAGAAAAATGTGATTGCTCATTTTGAAAACATTTAATTACGTTTACAAGAAAATTTTTATAAAATACCCTTTCTTCCTGGAATAGAATATAAGCCCTTAATAAAAAATTCGTAGATACAGTATTTTTCAATATACACAACGTTAAATATTGGGTAATAATGTAATATAAAATACTTGTATATTTTTCAAATTTCGTCCAGTTGTGCGTCGCCAAGTTGGGCCATCGCCCGGTTGGCTTTCGCCAGGAAGGCCATCGCCCGGTCGTCCGTCGCCGGGTCGGCCTCGCCGGGTTGGGATGTACCGCTCTATTGTGTATTGTGTGTAAAATTGAAAGTTATATAATGTTTAAGGAAATCAAGGTGTCTTGAAATCCCCAGAAAATAGAAATAGAGTGAGTTGGTGCCTGGTAGACCGCATCACTCGATCTGTTTTAGTTTTTAAAATATTGTCGAAAAACATTGTAAACAAGGAATTTGGAACACCCTGTACATATCTGTTTTCATTTGTACCTACCAAGGTGTTAATTTGGGGGCGAATTGGAGAAGAGGGGGGGAATGTTTGGGCGGAATTTTTGGTGGCGGGCCGCACCGGGGGTACCTGCTCCGCCACTGAAGTGGTATTAATGCTTAACACTCTGTCCTGACACTAATTATAAAGGGATAAGCATTATAATTTTTGAGGATTTTTTTGATAAAATGTACCATGTAATATGTATCTCGCTTCAAATCTATTTTACAGGATATTCTGCGGCATTTGTAATTTGACACAGAGAACGTCAGAGGAAGATTTTTATTTCTTACTCTAAGGTTCGATCCGCTTACTATGTAACATGTATGTGCAACTGTGAGGAAACAGCGCAAAATAGAAATGATCTTGGAAACGAAGTACTTTAATTATTTCTTATACCAAAGAGCGGGCCATGTTTAGTATGTTATGTTAAAATTAAAATTACAAATAATAATCTTTAGGTAATTTATTAAAATCAATCAAAATACGTTTATTTTTTTTTCAATCAAATTATTAAAATGTATATCTTGTATTTATACAAAATACCTCAGATTAACATGAGCAAAAAAACCCAGAGTGGGAGAATCTTGAAAGAACAAACTGCACGTGCTGCGCATGACAGAAAACTGTAGGAGTGACGTGCCACTAAAATCTGTTGGTGGCAAATATGACACCTCCTCTGTATACCGATTTTTGTTGTTTTTTCTCGTTTCCTGGCTGCAATATTTCAAGTTTGGAGGCCGAAGGGAAAAAAGAGAATAATTAAATAACAAAAACTGATAATTATTCTATTGAATTATGATACCTAGCTATAAAACGGCATCGTACAAGGAAATAATTTTTTCACTTCTTGTGAAAGGAAAGTTTGCTGCTTGACATTCAAGCTTGCATTAAATTTTTGTAGTTCTTTGAAAGACGATCAAAACGAGATTTATCGCACATTTTTTTCAGTTACTGAACTGCTTCAAAAGAGCGATTTAAGCGGATTTAATTAATAAAGGAGAATGTATTCCGATTTGATTATTTAGTTAGATGTTTAATTAATTCCTGTTGAGTTCTCGTGAGCTCTTTTATGGATCAAGAGTGACATTTTGCGCAATCGTTAGGTACATGTTTTTATTACATTCTCATTTGTTGCAAAAATGCGTTCGTGGCGTTGGTGTTTTGAAAGATGTCACTTCGTTCTAAACTTCCAGCTATGAATTCTTTAACCCGCCACTGTCTTACGATTTTGAATGGCGAAGATTAACGATCGAACACTGGAATCCTATTGGTCATCTTCAGTTAGTACAATCTGCGCCATTTTACGTGTTTGAAGTTTGTGTTAAACCGCCTTAAACCTGCTGAGCTAGCCAATTTTTGTTAACACGTGTTTGTTATGTATGGACATTCGAGTTCTTGAACTCCAGTTAAATTTTGAATCAAAGTTTTACGTAACCATGCCTTTTGATAACAGTGACAAGAACGATTTAGAATGTTTAGAAAGCGAAAAGTGCGTATCAGTGGCAAATGACCAAGAAGACGAGTGGGTGAATCCCCAACATGAAATGAAGAAACCACGAATAGAGGTTCCTCCAAGTTCTCCCCCCTGCCTGGTCGGTTTAGAGAGCACAAAAAAATACACTTCAATTCCGAAAGGTCGTAGCCGTTTTTGTAGCCGTCAGCTGAAATTAGATCGCACTGACTTAAATCGCACTTATCCCATATCTGGCGGTTCTTCAAGCATTGCATTAAGCTTATCGCCAAATTTGGAAAGCACTAGCAGGATGTACATATATCCAACAACTCCTCCACCGGTATGATGGTACGTAAATAGTAGATGCAAACTTAATGCAGCCTGTATTTCAGCCAGTACCTATGTATAATGGTTTTCAGTTAGTTGGAGACAGTCAACTTGTAAGGTTCCATAATCAAGTGTTGTCAAAAGGCGAGGGTAGGTTTCTCTTGACGATTGTCAGTGATAAGTATGCAACTTTTGCAGGTTTTGCTAGATCATTGGGATATTGTGTAAGCGGACAGAAGATTGCAGACTTAGAGACACGTATAAGAACTAAACCTTATACTATTTGCGACAAAATTATATTGCTTATCGGTACAAATGATTTCACACACGTAAGTCTCGGTATTTTAAAATTTCTTGTTTGTAATGCGTTCTCCAACTTCACCTCTTCATATAACAAATTCTGCATCTGTTTTGTACAATGAAGGTGTAGGCCTAGATCACCTTGTCTGAGCTACTGATGCTCGTACTGATGTGTTCATTAAGTCCAAACACCTGTAATAAGTGTATGAAAAGAATTTTTCCACTGAGGGCCCATTTACTTAAATTGTTTTCAGTGGCAACTAAAATTTCTTTTCAAATTTTCCAAAGCTAATTTTGAATTAATGTACGAGAAGTGTAGTACTGAGCCCACAGCTTCTCCAGCATCTTTATTACAGCAACTCCCATATGAGGGTGAAAAAATTCGACTTCTACTGTTTTCTACACTCATATTATCGCTACGAAGCTACCCCTCTCAGCTGTGGTGTCATCTTGGTAACTTTTACCATTTGCCCTCCAGCATTTTTTTTGTACAAAAAACAAGAAAGCGGTGGCTCTGTTGGAGGAAGCCGCTCTAGTGATTTCTTTTGTTTTCACATATTTTCGTGTACTACTAACCGTGAATATGTTTGCAGCAAATTTTTAAAAAAATGGAACAAGAGCTATATTGACAAGGATTTACATTCGATTAGAATTATTAGATAGAGTATTATACTTTTTTTAATAAAAATTATCTTCATTAATTTACATTATTAAAATCACCACAAAGTATAACATGTGAATTAATAGTCCTGCACTAAATGCAAGATGCAGAATGCAAAACTTCACAAAATACACTAGTCCTGTAAAGGTGACAATGACTGTATTATATGAATCACAGTTAATTCACAATGAATTTCGTTAGATAACTGTGACAGTGTAAATGTTGTTTATCGGTAACAACCACATTGATAATTTATCTCCTTATTTTAAAATGGTAGATGCTGTTATATAATAACTTAGTTTGGTATAGCGTGGAAGATGCTTGGCTACAACCAAGTTCAACCTGGTTTAAATCCTGATTTGGGGGATGGTTGGGTACAGGAATTATGACTGAAAATAAAAAATTTTGCTTTCATTTCATAGTTTCAACTATCTGGGGAAAATTATGTTATGGTCTTTCATTACAGAAGACTCCAATGGCAGCAATGTGTGATAGTTATGATTCCATTTTAAAATTATTGCAAGAAAATGGTGCAAACAAAATCATTTTATTGACGGTACCACCTGTGGCGAGAATGAAGGACAGAAAAATGCACTGGACTATGTTAAAAAGGTTTAACGAGCATATTATGAGTTTAAAAAAAGGTAATTTTTGTTTCTTGGGTATCTTATTGTAACAACTGTGGTTTTAGACGAGATAGTTTATCCATTTGACTTAGCTTCTGTTTTTATAAGTTATGATAATAGTGTGATCATGCAATGTTACGAAGAGTAAGTTTGTCATTTGACAGTAATTGTGTCTTATCAGTCTTTTTTAGGAAATACACTGATGGGAAAACAGATTTGGTGCATTTGAATAGAATTGGATTTAAGTTTTTGCAATTTATTCTAGACATCAATATGGAAAGTAACTCTCTTTCATAATTAAATTTTGTTTTATTTTGTATAATTGCGTTATAAATTGAATAATGACTAAATTTGATTGAATTGACTATTTTTAGTTGGCATCAGTAGCACTTCATAAGGAAGATTGCTTAATTGTTGTTTTACCTGGTGTTTTTATCAAAAAATTTTTTCGAATTGTAATAGGCACAACTAAATCATTGTATTTTCCCTGAATGTGATCAAATTACGTTGCACTAACAAAAATGGGTCGGTGGTGCAATTAAGTTCATATGGGATCACCCTGTATTTTTACATATGGAAGTATTTTACGTTTTTAATTTGGTAGCACTACATTAACCTCAAAATTATTATTTAAAAATCGAAATTTTCTGCACAAACAAATCGAGAATGAGTAATCAGAATAATATCTACGAAGCTGCCCACAAAGGCGATTATAATACAGTCGTAGAGAAAGTAACAGAAGATAACAAACTGGTAACACAACCTGACGGTGTAAGTAATTTTATGAATCGCTATTCGCAAGTCACTCGATGTTTTTAGAGTAAACGAATCTTAATACATTGGGCTGTCTTAAGTGGAAATGTTGAATTGGTTAAATTTCTTATCGAGCTCCACTCGCCGATTGACCCGTTTGACGATACTGACACAACTCCTTTAATTTTGTCAGCATCTGCCGGAAAACTGAATGTTGTCGATGTTCTTTTACAGAATAATGCAAATATAAATCATAAAAATGAACTCGGACACTCTGCCTTACAGTATGCGTGCTCAAAGGGATGGCTAGAGGTAAGACTGGGCTGATTTGCCAATTCTCACACTCTCTACGTTAGGTTGCAAAACTTCTATTGGAGAATAAAGCGGATGTCAACATAGCTGACTTAAGAGGGGCCACTCCTTTACACCGTGCTGCATCTAAGGGAAATTTAGAAATTGTCAAATTGTTAGTGGAATGTAGTTCCCTGCAGATCGACTCTCGTGACTATTATGGTAATTCCGCGTTGCATTTAGCATGTGAGGAAGACCGCGTGGATGAGGCCAAGCTACTTGTACAAAAAGGAGCGGACATTAATTTGACAAATAAGGAGAGACAAACTCCACTTCAATTGTGTACCAAGCAACTTGCAGCTGCACTTCTCGAGTTGGTTAACAATCAATCAAATATCTAATCCTGTTTGCAATTTGAATATATAAAATGCTACATTTGTTAAAATTATAAGGTACAATACGTATTTACAGTAAAGCTATTCTTGCAAACACTGAACTATACTCCGGGCACGATTATATAAAACACTTTCATCATTTTCATTGCCCTCGATAATTTTAAGGGCCTCGTCTAAAATATTTTTCCTCACATTTCCCTGGGAGTTACTGAAATATTCTGTTAAAGTCTCCCAAAATTCTTCGGGAATTTTTTCTGCATTGAACATATTTTGCTTTAGCCATACTTGTCGATTTTTTTCGAATTTCCAGTCATTTCGAGCGTGTTTCCACTTTGACAAGTAGTTCAAACTTCTTTCTTGGGAATTAATGTCGTTTTTAATTTTTTTATCTAAAATTAATTCCATGTGACGTGTTTTTTTCTTTGCTCGTTTTGATTCTTTCTTTTGTAATTTAGCCGGATTGTCCATTTCTTGTTCGTCTTGCAAATCACTAGCTTGTGTATCGGCAACTGGTTCTTCCTCTGTCTTTTTCCGTTTTTGTTTTTTTGATTTACCCCCTATGTCTTGTACACTTTCAGAGATGCCTTCATTATTTTTCATTTGTGTCTGTTTTCTTTTTGGTATGTTTGGAAGAATTTGTGTTTGATCTCCCAGCAGCTCGTTATTTTTATTCAATTCAGCTGCCACATTTTGCGGAACAACTTCTTCATCAAAGCAAATTTTTGTCGACTGCTTCTTCTTTTGCCTTATTTCTTTTGTTTCACTGCCCATCATAACAGGATCCAGAGAGAATTAATTTGTGATTCCTAAAAATGCTTCTATTCGTAAATATAACCACAAAATTAGAAAAACAGCGGTTAGGTTATAATCATAGAATAGAATGTGATGACCATATACGATGTGGCATTATTTTTGTACGCTGTTTTAAAGGAAAAAAGAATATTGTTGTGATTGATATTATGATATTAATAATGCCAATAAAGTACACTTATGTTTCATTTTTTGGAAATAGGTATAACTTTTTTTTTAGAGGAACAAGTTTAATTTAGAGGTACCACAGACCTCTGAAAAAATTATTAAAAGAATAATTTTTCTATTTCAACACTGTTCTTCGCAGTATGTTTTGTAGCACTGTGTCATTTGGCAACGTCGCCTAACAGATAGTCAACAAAAGATGTCCGCTTGAAGTGGAAATCGTTTCTTGAACTTACCATCTCTTGGAAATGCAGGGAAATATGAGCCAGAGGACTTTTTAATTGAGCATATTTCGTAATTATGCGTAAGTTTCTAAAATGGTTTCTAATGCTCGATTTTCTGCAACGCTTCAACTGTTCTAGTTATCAACTTATAAGTATGGCTTTACCATCAAACTACAAGCAAGTTTCGATGTCCCTTCCAGGTCCGCAGTCGGCAAATCGTAAGAAAATTTCATAATTGATTTGAAATTTCTGTTGTACGATTAAAGTATGTAGTTTTAAAAATTACTAAGTCTAGGATTTACGTGATACTTTCTGTTTTTGTCGAGCTCCTATTCTGAATTTTTTGTAATCAGGTAGTAAAGTATCTTTTTGGTATGTTTTTATTGACATGGCTTGCTGATCGCATGCGTAATTATTGTACAATGCCCTATTTTTATATTTATTCCGAAAGTACTTAGAATATCGAGTAACTAAGCATGATTATTAAATTGAATATTATTATGCCGCCTACTATGGTTTGTAATTATTAAAGTTTGTTAAGTACATGTTAATAATACAAACCATAAGTCTTTCGTAGAATAGTGCTCATGATTTGCTTTGTTTGTGTTTGTTGTTCAGATTTGCTGTCCGCAGGTGCCCCCATGACTTTCAACATTTTGAAAGGTAACGCATTAGTAATTAATATTAACACACTAGCCACATAATAAGCTTCATTTCAGTAGTTATTCATATTTTAAAAGTTCAGGTTTAATGCACTTGTTTTCAGTGCTTTTGCTTTTTTCTTATATTGCTTATATTCAATATATTGCCGCCTCATTTGATTTCAATTTCCGTCATAAATAATAGCAGTACTGTTTCTTCGATAGATGAACGTAAAGTAAATTTACATTTTTTGTAAAATACGTCTGGTAAGTAAGTAATGAAAAAATACCTAAAGAGATTGCGATTTATGTTATCTGGGATAGTCAGTTCATGCATTTTGCACGAAATGCTGTAGCCGTAATTTAGTGTTTTCAATTTATACTCATACCATTTCGTTCATACACATAGTTCGTAGAGTATTTAGCAGAATTGACGCTCACTAATTCGTTAATGTGAGTTTTTCGTAATAATAGCATTGTGTGTTTGTAGAACGTTTAAGAGCAACCAGCAGTGCCAATACGAGTGTAAATGTAAGTACTAATTATATTTACCGAATTTAACTAATACAAATCATTCATAGAAGGAAGCCAACCCATTTGTGACTACGGCCAATGGCCATTCTGGCTTTTTACCACAGAAAGTTGGGAAGAACAGCCCTGTAAGTATTAGGTCTTACATATACAAACTGTATATATTTGACACCCAGCGACTCTCAATTCTCGAAGGGTCAAGCAGTTTAACCCGTAATTTCAAATTATTTCCATAAAAAAGACGAATATTTTAAGCAATTTGTTTGAACTATGCACACTCGCTCATATGGGTTCAGTCTCAAAAGCATTAACTGTAAATCACATAGTGTGTAATGATGACCAATAAACACAACACTTCAAATGAGAGCGATGTCCATGCTCGAACCCAGATTCGAACTAGGGACCACAGTCGAGCTTCCACACCACTGCGCCACCCAGGCCAGCCAAAAATTAAAAAAAAAACATTTAAACATTCGCTAGATACTTCAATATTGTAATAAATAATAATTTTTTTTACTTATAGAGACTATTAATTTAATTAATAATAAAGAGACAATTACTGCCATTAACTCCTTTGTTAACGACATCATTTCACTTCTTGATAAAAAACAGAATGTCCTTGCTATATTTTGTGATCTCAGCAGGGCTTTTGATACTGTTGATCACTTGTTACTGTTGGAAAAATTAAATACTTACGGTATCAGAGGCGTTGTTGCCAATTATTGGTTTTCATCATATCTCTCTGGAAGGTGTCAACAAGTAGAAATTAAATTTAAAACCGGTTCCACTATTGCAAAATTTTTATCCACAGCTTTGCCTGTTAATATGGGGGTTTCATAAGGTTCTGTTTTAGGACCTATTTTATTTTTATTATTTATTAATGATATTGTCATGTTCTTAAATTGCTTGGTTTTATATGCGGATGATACGACGGCATTAATATCCGGAAAGAAGCAAGAAAATATATATCCAAAAGCTGTTGAGATTCTAAATAAGCTAAGTAATTGGTTTAATTTTAACAAATTATTCTTAAATCACGATAAAACATTTTTCCTACCGTTTACAACTTTTGGAAATAACCATTTGTCTGACTCAAGCAACAAAAACATTAATATTCTAGGCACTGGGAAGTTTCTGGGGATCTATTTAGATCAAAACTTAAATTGGGAATGTCACTGGGAAAATCTTATTAAAAGACTAAACACTTATTGCTACCAGATACGGAATCTTAAAGAATTAATGGATGTGAACCATACTTTAAATTATTACTATGCTCAAATTCAATCCAGATTGTCGTATAGATGGTCGTATGTTTGGGGCTCGTCAAGCGCGGCAAAAAATGTTTTTCTGGTACAAAAACGAATAGTCCGGTGTATTGTGGGTAGTAAGAAATTTGATTCGTGTCGCCCGATATTTAAAAAATTGAATATTCTTACACTTTCATCACTCTATATACTTGAATTGTTAACTTTTATTTTCCCTAATCAGCAACATTTCTTACGCCATAGCAGTTTTCATAATTACAACACGCGAAATAAACAACAATTTATCACCCCTTTAACAAGGCTTAAACTTGCCCATAATTCTCCCACGTCAATGGGTATTAAATTATTTAATGCTCTTCCAAGTACACTTAGAAGTCAGGGAACAATAAAGTGTTTTAAAACTTCTTTAAAAAAATTTCTTCTAGTCGATGCACCATATACAATTGATGAATTTCTTTTTTAAATTGTATTTAATTGTATTTTTTTGTGTCTGACGTATTCTATACAATTCAAAATTTGTCTTGGGAATTAATATATATTATTATTATTATTATTAATCCTACATTGCACGGACATTTTGTATGATATGATTGTTGCACATTTCTGTTTACATCCACATAACACATTATTATTGTTCTGATTCAATATGTATTCACATTAGTTCCTTCATATTGAAATCTTCTACATCCGTTTATGGGATGGCTTAACGGAGATGTCTGTTTATTAGAGCTGTCCGTTAGGGGAGCTTGCACTGTATATTAATATGATGCGAATACCTTCCAAGTTTTCCAAAGCCAATCCCCCTCTTAATTACTCCGTAAAATTTTTAACGCCCCCAATGTTGGACTATTTTTCTTACTACCAATTGGTTTTAAAGGTTCCAAAAACAACATGTGTGCTCATTTTGAAATAATGACTGATGCACCTCGAATATGTAATAACATGTTATTTGTGAGGACGTTACATAATCTGATTCGGTTATCTTTTTAAACAAACATATGTCCAAAATTATCATATGCACACACAGATAATACACCTGCGTTCGAGTCACCTCTTAGTCTCTCTGTAAATAGCGTGTAGCTAAGTACCGACTAAATAAAAAAAATGCTTTCATGTTTCTCGTGGGTAAGATTCTAACTGTATAAATAATCGCTCTTTAATTTGCACATGTAGAACGATGTACGTACACTTAAACCGCCAAAGGCACCCGAAAAACCTCTTATGCCCTACATGCGGTACAGTAGAAAAGTATGGGACGCCGTTAAAGCGCAAAATCCCGAACTGAAGTTATGGGAGATTGGGAAAATTATTGGGCAGATGTGGAGAGATTTGCCGGAGGAACACAAAAACGAATTTGTGGAGGAATACGAACTGGAAAAGGTAATCGAGGAACGTATTTCGAAAGTGTCACAACGAGCTTGTTTACAGGTTGAATATGAAAAATCTCTGAAAACTTACCACAATTCACCAGCTTATTTAGCGTATATTGCTGCAAAAAATAGAGGTAAGTACTAACCTTTCTCCCTCTTTGTTTGTTTTCGTACATTTTATCTCAGAATTCACAAATGTAAGTTAAAACTTTTCGTTTAAAGTACCTTAATAATAATGCATGTTCGATGTTTCTCAAGCTACCCAAGGGACTGATGATAGAGATACGCACGATCGAAGTGCTGCAGCCAAGCAAGCAGCCGCAGTTGATAGAAGGATCGATATCCAACCAGCTGAAGATGATGATGGTATTATTTACTTTCTTTTTACTGCTCCAGTATTAATTTATTTCTAGACCAGGATGATGGTTATTCGGTGAAGCATGTCTCATACGCCCGATATATAAGAAATCACAGATTGATCAATGATATATTTTCGGAAACAGTCGTGCCAGATGTGCGGTCGGTCGTGACAACTGGGCGCATGCAGGTGTTAAAGAGACAAGTACAGTCATTGACCATGCATCAGAAAAAATTGGAAGCAGAATTGCAGCAAATTGAAGAAAAATTTGAAGCTAAGAAAAGGAAGTTTGTTGAAAGTAGCGAGCAGTTTCAAGAAGAATTAAAAAAGGTTCTAAAATTCGTTTACTGTGTAGTGTTGCTGATTTTGGTTACTTTGCAGCATTGTAAGCCGGCTGTTGATGAAGACACCTTTCAAAAAATGGTAGAAAGACAGTATGAACTTTTAAAAAAGGATAGAATGAAACTCATAGAAGATCAAAAACCACGCATCGAACAGAATGGCGCTGTAGAGAATGGCACCACAGTTAATGGAACTACCAATGGTACATCAAAGCAGGTCGAAGAAAAGGTTACACCTGTTCCAGAAGTAGGTACTAATCCATTCTCTTGGATTTAAAATTAATTGCTGGTTTAGCCCACAGAGCCAATTAAGCAAGAAAGGTCTGATTATGAAAAACCTGCTACGAATGGCATTCAACCAGCCGAACATCCACCATCATCCACTGAAACCAAAAGTGTACCATCTCCACAATCAGCGTCAGAACATGTTCCTCAAGTGGCGCACGAAGCACCTCCAACACAGCCACCACCACAACATATGCCACCACCGCAACACGGCGTTCCACCGTCAAGTTCACCTATTCATCATCCTCATCCAACCGCTCCTCATATTCCTCCATCAACTCATGGTGTTCCAGCTCACAATATGCAACCGCCACATGCTATGCCTCCCCATCCAGGTGGTCCACCCCCAGGTCAAGCGCCAATGATGCCTCCGGCACAAGTTCCTTATCAACAATATGCAGGTGCAACTCCCCAGTCTGTGCCTTTACCACCAAGACCGCCACACCCCGCCTATGCTTATCCACAACAACAAGGGTACCACCAACCGTACCCGCAATATCCACCCCATGCATATTACCATCAACCATATCCCCAATATCCTCCGCACATGGCACGACCACATCCTTACCCTCATGCGGCACCTCCTGATGGCCAACATCCACCTATACCCGAAGGACATATACCACCACCAATGTATGGACCCCCTCCCACTGCTGAGGGCGAGAGACCACCTGATGATATTCCTCCAAATCATTTGGGAGGTGAAGCCATGATGGCTATGGAAGAGGCAAAAGGTATGTATGTTACCAATGAAATTTCAGAATACAATCTGAATCTAAAACATAACCGTATTCTTGTAGTGTGGATGGGTTATAAATTGAGTACCGATTCTGATGTTTTTTGTTAATCATGTTCGTGATAAAGTATTAAACGTTTTTTGTTTATTATCACACATTAAAATTTTCAGATCTGAAGGGAGAAGCCCATCCAGAAGATAGGAAAGAAGATTAAATTAAATTTCTTTTTTTAAATTATTTTTGCACTTTTTATGATTTTCTTATACTTACTGCGTTAATTAAAAACTAGTTTTAGTCGAGGTTTTAGTGTAGAAAGTTACAATAAAAATGTAGGAGGTGTCATTTATGTAATAAAGATACTAATGCGAACTAATTTGTGTAAATAGATTCTACCCTTTCCTAAATTTGATGGTACAATTGCTGAACAATATGGGGACAGCTTTGTTCGCCTAAAGAAAAGGTTAAATCCGTCTCTGCTCCTTCTCGACCTACCTCCATTAACGCTTTAATCTTACCTTTATGTCCCTTCAGATTCCTTAAGCCTCTTTCCTTTACACGCGGTTCATTGTCTTCCCATGCTTTCACATCTTTTTCACGTGTCCATCTTCCACACCGCCTTCACGCCTCTTATTTCTTCTAAACATACATCATTTCTGTTTTTGTCGATCCCTTCTACTTTCACATCTGCCTCTGCGGCTCCTTCACACCGCCATACCTTTTGCTTTATGTATTTTTCACACTTCGGCTGTCCTCTTCCTTTCTTGGCGCATCTTTTATGACTGGCTTGTTCCTTCCTTCACATATCTTTTGTTAAAATGTCCTCTTCTTCAACACTCTTGTAACCCATCCTTGCCACTTTCTGCCTGCATTTTTTCAAATATTCTTCTCGGCTTCAATGGACATCGTTCCTGCTTACAGGATTTAGTACAAAAATGGCAGCGTTAATCTAATTTTCGCCTGATAATACTTCTTATCGCAAGTAGGAGATGCGTCTTGTAATACGTTATCTAAATTGAATCAATTACAAAAGCGAACTAATTCAAACAAGAATTTCGCATTTATAAAATTTCTAAAAGGAAAAAATAATCCAGAGACAAATTCAAACGAAACGAACCAACTGTGCGCATTTCGTAATATACAGGATGGCCCGTCATTATTTTTTGTGTTCAGACCGAAAAAAAAACAACCACATGACCTTGTTTACACAACAATATAACAGAAATAAAGTTTTATTTAGCAATTTCATTACAATTTTAATTTTTTCATCAATTTTCTTCCCCTTACAGTGCCTGACCCCCCACTACATACATCACTGTACCTATATAAAACAACTTGATAGAATCATCCTCTTCCACAACTGTATTGTATTATAATCGGCTTATTCCTTAATACGGAGCCATTAAGTTCCTCCAAGGCCCTACACGCGCTAGTTTCATCTAAAATAACACAACGGTGTCTAAATTCTATCATTATGATCAGCCTCACCTTCGAAAGTAACAAATGCTTGTCCTCTAAGACGTCCTTTCATTAGTTTGTACTCTGTCACACTGTCAGCAAATCCCTTAAACAAACTGTGCAAGTCCCCCTCTTTTACACTGTTGCCCAGATTTTTCAGGTACAGAACCTAGGGACCGAATGCAGTTACAAGAGAACTAGAACCATTCTCACCTTTGACGGGTTTCCAGGCGAGTAATCCTTAAACCTTGGTAGTGCCTTTATCTCGTCTAAGCTCAGTTTTGTTGCAACCAAGTGTTGTTCAGGTATACCTGAATTTGTCAATGGAACGATTTCTCCATTATGTATGGTATAGTAAGACCTAGGTGAGCATGTATAGGTTTTCTTCTGGACAAATGGTATGTTCGGTACAGATTCTACAGCAGTTTTCAAGTCCCATTTAGATTTAGTATTTAGTGGTAAATCTGGAGTTGATACATCTGGCACATTGCAGGTTTTATCTAATCTCCTTTGTAGTTTTCTAGATTTTTTACGAATGGTAGATATTGAGGCTAAGTTAGAATTGTTTAAATGCCGAAAGCGTTGTGCTTCAATGTCCTTAATATCGACTGATGTAATTGGGTGAGATGGTGTTTGCTTTGTATTACCTAACGCAAACTTCAATAACTTAGTTTCTATACTGTTTGGTTTGATTGTCAAGCCATACTGTAATAGATTCTTTTCTTCTGTAGATCTAAAACTGTTAAATTAGATAGGAAGATATAATCTGGACTAGTTACTGTGATGCTTTTGCTTCGTGTAGTTGAACTAAACCCTTCAATTGCTCTAAACGCTTCTGCAACAAAGACTTTTCCCAATTCTTGTGGTTGTGATGCAAATAGTCGCTACCATTCAAACTATCCAAGTATAATTGCGCATCTTGATCTGTTAATCCGGCCGCCTTCAAGCGTTCAATGTCATTAAAGTGCTTCGTTGAACTTAGGATATCTGAAAGATTAGAAGTGCCCGGGTTATATCGTGACAACGGTGTAATATCTGCTCCCTTTTCGAATTCTTTGCGATGAGTTAAATGCCTAAAACAAAGCTTTAAAATGCTATCGAAGTAGATCGACCCATTACTGTTGTAAGGTTATGTCGGTCTTTTTTTGATTTTCCACCAATTTTTTAATTAAGATGTCCCCATCGGATATTAATTTTTTTGAAGGCGGCTCATTTTCGCACCATTCGTAGCAAAAATTTTTATTTTTTACTTCAGACATTTCGTTCTGCATAACCTCAAACCGATTTCAAAACAAAACAATAAGCACAGATTAAACACCTCGCATATACAGAGTGTCTTACAAGCAATGATGTAGCGTGCGTATGTACTACATCAGACAAGCTCATCAAATATATATAAAAATAATTTTTTGCGTTCTTTAGTTTAAGATTCTTCGGATCAAGATTTCTGAGATTGTGTAAATTCTTCAGATAAAGATTATGTCATTTTTTTTCGGTTTGCTTACACGCCTTTGGCGTCTACAGATTTTTCAGAAGGTACTTAATTGTCGTTTCTTCGAAGTTTTTCAATTATTCTTTTACTTGCGATTTTTCATACGCATCGGTTACGTCGTAGTGATCATGTTCAGATTTTTTGGCTTTATCAGATTCGTTAAATCCTTCAAAATCTTGACATTCCGCCAATTATTTTAATTTTTTCAGTTCTAATTAATTTTAAGATCCTTTTGATTCTTCCGTTTTTTTCGAATTTTTTAAGCCATCAGATACTAGTTTGCATGTAAATTAATACGCGATTGTAATGTGCGTTACAGAAATGGTTTGCGTTTACACTTTTTACTTATTTGCATTTTTTAGACTCTTCCAATTTTTCGCTTACATTTTTTCGAATACTGCGATTTTTCGGTTTCTTCATATCCTTCATCCTCCAAACCAAGAGTCTTATTTTTATCTCTTTTACTGTGGACGATATCGGGATTTTTTTGGAAATGCAACTTGAAAACGGCCGTACTTTATGCTGATCGCTTTTAGATCCTATATGTAGGTACTATTGGTTAGAACATTGTAAATCTGACCAAAAATACTACAAATATATCGCATTGTTTTATTTCTACATCTACAATAGTGTACATCTTATACACATTCCGTAATGTATGGTACTTTCAGAGATAAATACACTTTAAACATTTTTACAAATTACGCATCCATAAATATTTAATGTGCAATTTCGCATTTATTGAATTTATTGAAATTAATTAATATATACCCACTTTTTAGTTACTGTACTTATAATAAATATGATCTTAATATTAATACCTAATGACTATTTTTTACAAATTGTAAAATGACTAGTTCACTGACTCGGTATATGGGCCGTTCGGCGCCATACATAATAATGTTTAAAAATAAAAATAAATAAATAATTAACTACAACTAGTTAACACAAATAAATAAATAGTCTAATTTTTACAATACATATTTCTAAAATTATTAGAATATTACTATGTGGGCAGTCTAGATACCATGTACACTTACGATGCTCATACATCAATATTCTATATAACAACTAACAAGAAAACTATTTTCAGAAGATCAAAATACAATAATTTCTAAGACCTATGCACTTATAACTATGTGAAGTAATCACTATTAAAATAGTAATCAAAGAGTATAAGCTACTCTTTGTTGTAATCTTTGGAGATCCTAGCCGCATCAAGTGTTTTTTCCAAACACTGTAGAAGATTAAACTCATACTTAACGAAATTATCATTATGATATGTCGAAATAAATCACAAATCAATCGCGCGTACCTAATTTATATTAGCACATAGATAAATAAGCACGAAATGAATACTGCTCACAATTAACTATATAGGTACTCATTACACTAATTCTTAATCTACTAGCATTGCTATGCTTATATTGTCAGCTTATTTTGAACCTTAATCAAAATAAATATATTTTGCAATTTATTAACTATTCATTATTTTTTCTAATTATTGTAACGATTATAAACTTTGTTGATAGTAACATTTACATTGTAATTACGTATACATTTTAAAATCATGGATATACTACACTGCACATTAGGGACTTACAAAATAGCGAAACATTTTAAGCTTTTTAACATTGAAGTTAGACGACAATTTGGAACATTTATAACTTTTTATTGGTACAAATATCTGATATAAACCTTGTATTATTGCAATGGGTTACGATACACCTGATTTACGGGGTTTTAACAGTAGAAATAAAAACACGTACATTGCACATTTATAGTAAAACACCGATACTTACATGGAAGATTTTTAAATAACAGATAACCACATGTGATGGGTATGCAAAACTTTGCAATGGAAAGAGTTTAGTTTAGTCACTATCATCACTTGACTCGTTCTCAGGTATAGCAGGAGGCTGCTCTGGTATGGGCGCAGGTGGTGGTTTGGTTACTGTTGCAACACTGTATGCTGCAACATTGTCACCCTCTGTATGCTCGATTCCCACTCTAAAAAAAGTTAAAGTAGAGTTTATAAGCTATAGGACAAAAATTAGATTTTAGTCTTTCAAGTGGCCAAGTTTCAGCCACTAAAACAACCATGGTCGAAATTTGTATTAGTAATAAAAAATCAAAATGCCACATACCTATACTCATGCCTAGCCAAGTATCTCACGTATTTTTCGGGAGGGTCATCGCTATCTGAATTTTGTAGACTTACGCTCCGAACGGTGGTATGGCTAACCTGCGTTGCGGGCATAGTAAATTCTACATAGCAATATTCAGCCAATTGATCAGGTATTTGGTCATAACTTGTTAAGGCTAATCTGCAAACCAAGTTATGCGTCGTATATGCGCCTAAAATACTAATTTGTATGAGCCTTTACTTTTTGAATAATATGCTACCTTGTCCTTCTTTTGGCAACCGCGGACACCTCCAAACTATGGCCCTATGTTGATGTTCGTATTTTGCTTGGCCCGATGTCACCTCAATTAAACTTTCTTGCAAAGTTTCCATAGTGCCCAAAATTCGTTCAATTCCCTTAATTTTCCCTGTCCTATAATAACCAGGCTACTATTACAACTCACCAACAGCACACGCTCACCTTCTGTGCGTCGATTTGACCGAACCGTATCGGAAATGCTTCTCGACTCTGAAAAGATAAATCCAACACTCTGGAATGGGTATTCTAATCATGACGTCTTCGCAGGGAACCTGCCCTAGTTTTCGAGACGCGAATCCCGGAACTAAAACGTCTGCCTTTATTACTACCTTATTTCCAGTAACGTTAATCGTGGTTTTAAGCTGCAAGGGTAACTCTCTGTTTTTAGGTGGGCGTACCCTAAACCTCATTAACTCAATGTAGCACGCATCAGGTGGCTTGAATCTGCAAAAGGTACACTTTAAATATTGCTCAAAACTGCTACTGATAATACTTGATAATGTGAGAATTTTGGTAGTCATCTTGTTGGATGCAGGAATGAAATTCGACATCCTCCAATCGAATCCATTCTTCCGTAATTACGGGAATAATGTCATGTCGTCCTACGACTTCCTTACCTTGTCGTCTCATATCATTAACCCCCAACTCAATGTCGGGCATTCCAGTTAAAAATCCTAAAAAGAAGAGGCGAACCCTTGCTATTTGTTTTTCGATGTGTCCTACAAAAGTTCGATGATTTAGAATTTTGAAGCAAATTATCAAGGTACGAACCCTCTGCATCTTGCTCAACATACAGCTCATCCACCGAAGTTATCTGAACTTCTTCCATTTTGTAGTGGAGCGCGCGATCTCGGTGTGCTTGTAGCTTAAACAGTGCTTCTTCAATCGACACCGAGAATTGTTTCAAATCTTCGTAATTCAACGAACCCAGCTTCATCAACTGTGACACTTGGGGTGCGTGCTCAACAGGTAGGCCTAATTTTTTTAGATCGCTCCCGAACTCTTTGACTCCTACAATTTCCCTTACATAACAATCGTGCTCGTCACTTTCGGAAATATACCTTCGTAGTCTCCTTGAATCGCGTACGATGCGAACTTTGACAGTTTATTCGTAATTCGTTCTGCCTTTTTTACCTGACCAGGACGAACACCTGGCCGCTCTTTGTAAAAAATATACTGTAACTTCAACGTAAAGATTTTTCCGAAGTTATCGTATTGTTGCGCTCCAATGTCGGACACGGAATAACATGGCTGTAACGGTAGCTCTTGGAAAGGGTCTTTGTCGCCCTTTTGATTAAATAATTGCAAAAGAACGCAATCGGTTTGATGCAGTAATCTTATGAAAATCTTCTTCCAAAATCTACAAAGAATCCATCACAATATTGTACCTACCCCTCTGAAAGTGTTAAGCTACCTTTGTCCCGTAATCTTTTTTTTATTAGGCTGTCTTAGTTGCATTTCCCAGCCATCTGCTGTATAGATTGTGCGTGGAAAAACTTCCAGAGGTTGGGAGACGTCTTCGTCGAATAATGGGGAGGGAGGAGTTTCTTGGGATTCACTCCTTGGCACAGATTCCCCTGATAAAGTAATGGTTTAGTGTAGTAATTGATAATAATAGCTGCAATTACCTATAGTCATATCTTCACCGATAGCTGGAGAAACCGACTGGGTTTGCTGATCGAAAGGATTAAACCTCGGAGAGGAATCGGTGAATGCACTATATACAGGAACGCTAGGTGGAGGGGCTAATACTGGCATGGCTTCGTCGGCAAACGCATTGTCATTCGACTTTGGTCTAAAAAGCGTGCATTAAAACAAGAACTGAATTATGTGATCTAGCACCTTATAAATACAGAAAAATCTTTCTCTTCATCCGAATCTTGAGACGGCGCTTTACTTAATTTATTGGGGGTACTTTGGGGGACAGTTGGCGGCTCTTGCATGGACAAGAAAGCGTCAAACGGCTCATCGGTACCGAAACCACTCGACGTATCGTTAAAGTCTGCACCGTCGTTACCCCACGTGTTCGTTGATGCAGATCCAGAGAATGCATCAAACGCTCCATTTTTATTTTCGTCTTTCGCTGCAGATTCAAACTTCATTGCGAACGCGTCAAACTCATCGTTCGACGGCTTTGCTTCACCAAAACTAAAGTTATCTTGAGCAACTGGTGGGTTAGTGTCGATTAATGATGACGTGAATAGCTCTGTTGCGATCGTTGGAGTGTGTTTAGGACTTGAGCTCTCCTGGACCTCGGCAAATGGATTAAAAGTCACACTTGATATTGATCCCTTGCTCTGACTATCGCTTGTATCCATCTGCAAGTCGGATTGTGAAGGTTCGGGTGATATAAAGTTATCTTGGACTATTGGCGTATTTGCCAACGATTCG